GGCTCTCTTTTCTACCTCCTCCATGTACAGGTTGGCAACAATAGGAGGAACTGGAGACCCCATAGCACACCCATGTTTCTTCCTGCTCAGATCAGCCTGTATTTGCACCGCACTTCTGGACGGGTTCTGGAGGCGTGTCCAGAATCCAAAATCCTGTTAATGATCTATTAATGAACTTTAGTTCACCGAGTGAGAGTTCTGCGATGAGTTAAACTCAAAGCAGTCTGATCCTCAGATAAATGTTAAATTATTATTTTTAAATATGAATGTTTCTGTTCAGTGCCTGAGACGACTTCTGTTGTGATTTGGCGCTATATAAATAAACTGAATTGAATTAAATCTGATGAACCAGATTCTACAAAAGCATTTATATTAAACATTATATTTAAAATTCTAAATTTTTCTTCATCACTTGATGTATTTGCACTCATTGTGCCTTTTCTTGTTAAATTTAGATATATGGCTTTGTTTCTTGTACACAGATTTTACTTTAGTGATTTAAAGTGAAATTCTAGTTTTGTGATTTGTAATCTGCTGCCTCTCAGCGAGAAGGTTGCTGGTTCAAATCCCGGTTCGGGGCCTTTCTGGGTGGAGTTTGCATGTTCTCTCTGTGCATGCGTGGGTTTTCTCCGGGTGCTCCAGTTTCCTCCCACAGACCAAAAACATGCATGTTAGGCTGATTGGTAACTCTAAATTGTCCCTAGGTGTGAGTGAGAGAGTGAATGGTTGTTTGTCTCGTTTGTCTCTATGTGTCCCTGTGATGGACTGGAGACCCGTCCAGGGTGTCCCCCGCCCCTCGCACAGTGATTGCTGGACATGGGCACCGGCGACCCCCGTGACCCAAAATGGAATAAGCGGGTAAAGATAATGGACGGATTCCTGAGAGACCCAATAAGTGTGTCTTTTTATGATTTTTCAGCTGAGTTAACTTTAATTAACAGATTATTTAGTAAAGTCTAAGTGAAAACAGGATTTCATGATAAAGCCGGCACCATTTATTTATTTTTACTCTTCACTGATAAAAAATAACTGCCAGGTCTTCGTGCGACTCAGTTCGCTGTGGCGACCCCTAAAAGGGAGCAGCCGAAAGAAGAAGAAATAAAAATAAAAAATTTAAACATAAAATGTTTTTAAAATAAGTTTCCACCCTCCATCCCAAACTCTCAGTCCTCCTGCCTGCCAGGGCTCAAAATCCGGCCTTTGTGAGCAGGCGAGGCCGGGGCTCGGGGTCCGGCCTGCTCCAATGGGTCGGCAGCTCGTAGGATCCTCCGCTCACTCAAATTTTGTCGTCAGTCTCCAAACACAAAAAAACGCCTCGTTTTTAAAATCGTAAAAATAGATCCAGCCGCTGCTGCACGTTCCGAGAAATTGCAAATGGCGGATCAGTGAACAGTTTCTGCGATGCAGTGACTCCTCCCCCTGACCAATCGGAGTCCTGCATTCACGTTTCGGTCCTGGCTCAGCTCTACTGAGCTCGCTCGGTCCCACCAGAGAAGCAGGGACGAAAAGAGGTCCTGAATCAGGTAAAAAGTACTGGTGCAAAAGGATCTTTCTGTGGCGGGCTTAGCAGAGTAGGGGCTGAGTAGGAGCAGTGGAAAAGGGGCATAATATTGCTCCCCATATGTGAAGTAGGTTGACTGCAGGCACAGGTTCAAGAGTTGACACAGTTGTTCTGTGGAAAGTCCTGCTGCTCAGAGTGGTGTCTGATTTTAATTTGAACTGACCACCTCTACTGCATCATCAACAGAGACCATTGTGTCATCAGTCTCCACGAGGACATCCCTCACCTTGTCCAGAGTCCATGGTGTTCTGTATGTGGTGTTCTGAGCTGCCAACTCAGCAACTCAGGGAAGGGTGTTTCTTTGCTTATATTTTTGTAACACACTTCATAACTTTATATTGAAGAGTGGAGGAGAGAAATGTGAACGCCCGTTGGGAAGACTTATGACCAGGGCACCACTTGTAAACCTTTTGTGGGACTACGTATAGCATGTCACGATCTCAGCTCTCTGCAATAAAATCCCATGCCGATCGTGCGGCTCTTCCATCAATCAGCCAGTTATGTGTCGTATCAAGTCTTACTTTGAAAAACCTCGATAGAGCGAGTCCATGAAAAAGGAACCACGAAGTAGCGAGGGACTACTGTATATTGGTTATAAAGCCTTGCCCGCCCAATATTGGTATCTGCAATAGCCAAAATAGCCTTATACGTAGGTCAGGCTCTATTGTAAAAGACTCTCGTAAGAAACTTTAGCTCAATTTATAAAGTTTCACGAGTTCCAGCCATTTATGTGTAGGTTCAGGTTGATTAGCTGCGGTGGCCATCTTAAGCTGACGTACATCCAACTGAGCGTAACAGTTAAATCCCTCAGTGGTTTACGTGACTGTTTGCTAACAAACAGGATTGTTTTAAGCACATATGCTGTGAAATGTTCTCCACTCGAAGTATGTGTTGGAATGATGCTCAGCTACCACCACATCAAGTTTTAGCTCAGTTCTGTTAAATCAGTTTTAGTCTACTGTAATAAATTTGTGGGTCACACAGGCAGAAAATCTTGCCTAGAATGTCAGAACATCAAACACCACACACACACACCAGGTTATTATTTTTTAATTAATCTTTATTTAACCAGGCAAATCCTATTGAGATCACAGATCTCATGCAAAGGAGGCCTGGGCCTGAAGGCAGCTTAACATGCATGTTACCAAAATAGACTTTTTATTGCACATTTGGGAACTGGGGATTTGCGTATTAGTCTACGTAGTAGGTGCCACCATGAATTTAGCTGCAGAGCTGGAGCTGATCAAAAGCTTGGAAAGTATCTCATTGTCTGATGCTAAAGTACGAGGTGTAGTTGAGAAGACTGTTAGTGAAGATTGTATGGATTCCCTACTTGGGGTCGTTGAAGGTTTGCGGCAGGAAGTGAAATCTCCTCAGAGGACGGTCCAGACCTTAGTAACTCCAGCTGCAGGTGGCCCCATAGCTATTCCTGTTGCTGTACATGGTTATTCTGCTAATGAATACTCCTGTAGCAAAAGCAATGACCCAAGTGTTGGTTGCTGGGAGCGTGGATGCAATCGTCACCAACGTTGCAACTGTCCGTACATTCAGGGAAACTATATATATATCTACTGTATAAGGGGCGTGCACAGAGGGCCCAATGCTCGCCCCTTTCCCTGTGTCTACTGCAGCCTCTGACTGTTTAAAGGGATGGCTACCTAAAAGCAAACACACTGTAGGTGGGTTTGACTGCCGTGTGTTGATACTGGAGCTTCCCACTCTGTGATCCCAAAAGGTCTGTGGCTGTTGGTTTGAGACCTTTGATCAGTGTGCTGCTCCTCTACTGATTGAACTATCCCTGGTCAGTCTCTTTGCCTCCTCCAACGGGTCTTGCCCAAGAACATCACACTATTGTCTTCTAAAGTCAGTTGGCTGTGGTGGCCATCTTGAATTACGTTGAATCCAGATGTTACTCAGTTGCAGATGTACATCAATTAATTACATTTTCACATTTTCTTTCAAACGCATTCAGATGCACAGATCCGATACAAATACCAGTATCGGTACCGATATCGGGGAAAAAACTTCAGGATCGGGTACCGGTGACAATGTGACCGATCCATGACTGGGCAGATCTAGTCACTCTAGTTCTATGCTTTGTGCTCTGAGCGACGTCACGTGCCAGCGTACTGACTGAACAAACTAAAGTTGTTGTTTTTACATGTTTGATGGAGCTGTGAAGCTCTCGGTGTGTTTAGTGTTCTGTTATGGTGCACAGTTTTCAATAAATTCGTAACTCAGGACATTCATGTCTGCGTTTCACAAAACAAATGTTTTAAGTTAATTCAGCGCTGGGTTTGTAAACTCAAACAACCAGGTAGACTACAAAAGCTGCTAAATTAACAAAAACTGCTAAATCGTGTCATCTGGACCTGTTTCAGAAACGGGTCCAGATGACACGATTTAGCAGTTTTTGTTAATTCAGCAGTTTTTTCGGATCAGTATCGGCCGATACTAAACAACAGATATCGGTATCGGATCGGAAGTGGGAGGGAGAAAAAAAAAAAAAAGTGGATCGTGCATCCCTAATATATTTAACAGAGTTGATTTCTTCATGAAATGGCCAAATGTTTAACCCAGATCTTGTGCAAACTCTTGGTGGTTACAGTATCTTTTACGACTGAATTTTCTAGTGCGGTATCTGTAAAACTGACCGCTGTAGAACTATTTTGTGTTTGATAGAAAAGGTAGAGAAATTAAAAAAAATAATCTACCTGTGCATCTACAGACATAAAATGAGTTTTACTCAGGTGATGGAACAGTAAACCATCAAATCACAAATTATTATAATTTATCAACTTCACTCCTTTCTGAAATGACAATTTTGTATCTAAAAAACAAAATGAGCTTTGATTCCCAACTTTTCATGCACTGAACTCTTCACAGAGTGAGACTAAACTCAAACTGAAAACCTGACTCAGTCTGGCTCCAGGATGTAGTTTAGTCATAGGCTGGCAGGCCAAAGAGCTGTGGGTCAAACTCCTCCAAGCTCCTGAGTTGCAGTGTGGCACTCTGGGTAAGGCTGTGGTCCAGGTTGACATCAGGAACCATCACCACCTGCATTCCTGCTGCAAGCGCTGCCTTCACACCATTGGGGGCATCTTCAAACACCAAACACTAACCGGAGAAAGAACAAGACAAAAACAAAGAAACTAGTAAAAATCCCACAAGTGCATTTGCAGCGGTGCTTGAATGTTTGTGAAGCCTTTACAATTTTCTGTATTTCTGCATGAATCAGAGTCAGAGTCAGAGTTTCTTTATTGTCATTCGCACCTCATGTGGTACATGTGGTGGAGCGAAATTATGTACATGGGGTCCCAGTTACATCCAACAATAAAATGTATAAGAAAAACAGTAATAACATCTAAGATATGAACTAAGAAAAACATCAACTAAATATACACTAAGCACTCATAACATAAAACATTGAACATCAGCACAAACATGAACATGAGTCTGTGAGCAGATGTGCACGCATGAACACAACAACATTGAAACAGATCAGCAGCAACATGAAACAGATCAGCAGCAACATGAAACGGATCAGCAGCAACATGAAACAGATCAGCAGCAACATGAAACAGATCAGCAGCAACATGATGTGATTTTTCACAGTGATTATTCTAGTTAGAGATTCATGAGTCTAACAGCCTCAGGGTAGAAGCTGTTCCTCAGTCTAGTGGTTCTACACTTAATGCTCCTCAACCTCCTTCCTGAGGGGAGTGGGGCAAAAAGTGTGTGTGCTGGGTGGGTGGGGTCCTTCATGATGCAGGTGGCTCTCTTCCTGCATCTGGAGGTGTAGATGTCTGTGATGGTGGGGAGACTGACTCCAACATCTTCTGTGCAGCCTTCATCACTCTCTGCAAAGCTTTTCTTTCTGCAGCTGTGCAGCCTCCATGCCACACGTTGATGCTGGAGCACAGGATGCTCTCCACTGCACACCTGTAGAAGGAGGTGAGGACTGAGCTTCCCAGACCAGCTCGTCTCAGCCGTCTGAGGAAGTAGAGTCTCTGATGAGCTTTCTTGATCAGGCTGGTGTTGTTATTGCTCCAGCTGAGGTTGTCATTCATGTGTACACCCAAGTACTTGTAGCTTGAGACCACTTCCACCTCAGATCCTCTTATGTTCAGGGGGTGTAGGTGTGTTTGTTCCTTCTGAAGTCCACAATCATCTCCTTTGTCTTCTTCACATTGATGTGAAGGTTATTCTCTTTGCACCAGCTCTCCAGGTGTTCCACCTCTTGCCTGTAGCTGGACTCATCATTGTTTGTGATGCATCCCACCACCGCTGTATCATCTGCAAACTTTACAATGTGACAGCCTGGATGGGTAGCTGCACAATCATACGTGAGCAGAGTAAACAGGAGGGGGCCCAACACACATCCCTGAGGAGAGCCAGTGCTGAGGGTTATGGTGGAGGAGGAGAGGTTGTGGATCCTCACTAACTGTGGTCTGTTTGTTAAGAAGTCTAGTTCCCAGTTGCAGATGGAGGGGCTTAGTCCTAGTGTGGATAGTTTGTCCATCAGGGTTTGGGGGATCATGGTGTTGAAGGTGGATGTGAAGTCCACAAAGAGCATACGGACTTAAGAGTCTTTCTGCTCCAGGTGGTTGAGCGCAGTGTGGACCACAGAGGAGATGGTGTCCTCTGTTGATCGGTTCTCACGGTATGCATACTGATGAGGGTCCTCGTTGATGTTGATCTGATGTGAGTCATGATCAGTTTTTCAAAGCATTTAGCGACTATCGGGGTGAGGGCCACTGGCTGTTAGTCATTTAGACCAGTCACTGTAGAGCTTTTTGGGACTGGGATGATGGTGGCAGTCTTCAGGCAGGTGGGAACTGTCTCCAGGGTAAGTGAGGTGTTAAAGATGTCTGCCAGCACCTCACAGAGCTGATCAGCACATTCCTTCAACAATTTTCCGGGGATGTTGTCTGGGCCAGTTGCTTTGTGAGGATTAATCCTCCTGAAGGTACTCCTTACTTCTGCTGAGGTCACGCTGAGATGCTCTTCATCCGGTGGTGAGGTGAGTCTGGTGCTGGGTGGTCTGTTCGGGTCTTCAAAGCGTGCATAGAACTTGTTGAGGGCATCAAGCAGAGATGGGTCTTTGGGGCATTGTTCCCTCCTTCCTTTATAATCTGTTATGCACTTAATGCTCCACCACATGCTCCGAGGGTCTTGTGAGATGAATTGACCCTCGATCCTCTTTGCATATGTGGCCTTGGCCCTCTTAATACCAGCAACCAGCTCTTTTCTTGTCCTACTCAGCTCCGCTGAGTTTCCAGACCTGAAGGCAGTGTTCCTGGCTTCCAGCAGGGTGCGCACCTCTGCATTCAGCCAAGGTTTTCTGTTTGGGTAGCTTTTAACTTTTTTCCTGGCAGGGACCAATGCAGACATGTTCCTGTTTTTAGTTTTATACATTTGTCTTGGAATCTAGCTGTTTTTTTGTTTTTGTTACCTTTTTCCTTTTAGCCATCCTATTTGTTAAAAAAAAACAAAAAAAAACTGTAGTATGAGTTTTTATAACTGCTTATTGTTGTTGCTGTTGTCCATTGTTGTCATCTTTCTTTGTTGAAATCAGGTCTCTCTTGTAAATGAGTCCTCGAGGCTCAATGGGATTTACCTGTATAAATAAAGGTTGATTGATTAACATTTCTGATAGTGGAGACGGTGTCAGTACATGTACTAATGTAACCCAGAACTGAGGATGTGTATTGGTCCAGATCAAGCGAACCTCCATTTTCAGCAGCTTCTCTGAAAACCTGCCAGTCTGTTCGGTCAAAACAATCTCTCAGTATGGGGCCACTGTCCTGGCTCCAACATTTAACTTTCTTTTGTACCGGTCTGGAGCGTCTCAGCGGGGGCATGTAAGCAGGAGCCAGGAAGATTGAGATGTGGTCTGACAGTCCTAGGTGGGGGCGGGGTTCGGCTTTGTATGCATCTTTTACGTTCGTGTAAACACGGTCCAGCGTCTTGTCTCCACGTGTCGGAATTGTCACATGTTGATTAAAGCTTGGGAGACAGTCCTTTAGATTCACGTGGTTAAAGTCTCCGGCTACAATGTAAAGAGCCTCGGGGTGTTTGCTCTGCAACGAGCTGATGATATCGTGAAGCTCCTGTAGTGATTCATTAGCATTAGCGTCCGGAGGAATGTAAACGACAGTGATAAAAGTCACCGTGAACTCTCGGGGTAGATAATGTTGCCGGTATTTCACAGTTATTTGCTCCAAAGCCTCCGAGCATGAGCTATTTACAACAGTACAGTTCGTGCACCAACTTTTACTCACGTAAATGCATACTCCGCCTCCCCGTGATTTCCCCATTAGCTCGCTGCAGCGGTCCGCTCGAAAAAAAAGTCTGTCATCCAGCTGGAAGACTGAGTCCGGCGTTTCGCTTGTAATAAATATGACTTAAAACATCAGAATTTCACACAAGTCCTAACGGTAGATAAAGAGAACCCAATTAAACAAATGCTACAGAAATATTATACTTGGTCATTTATGTATTGAGGAAAATGATCCAGTATTATATATTTGTGAGTGGCAAACGTATGTGAACCTCTAGGATTAGCAAATTTTTTTAATGTTTTTTTTTTTTTGCACAAACACACAAAAGATAAAAAAAAGACCGCAGAACAAAATCCCCTCCAGCCCCTCCCCACCCACACCGAATCAGTCTCAAACACAAATATCCTAAGCAGGCACTGACATGTTTTCCACATGACATAAAAGGCTGCCAAGTGTCCAAAAATCTTTTTATAGAACCTTTCAGGGTATAGCTAATTCTTTTCAGATGAATACGATACAGGACTTCTCTTATCCAGTGTTCATATAGCGGTGAGTGTGGATCTTTCCATGTGCAGAAAACAAGTCTCCTGGCCAGAAGAGAGACAAAAGCAGTCGCATCCTTCCCGTACTTGCTGAGGGATGTATCCACTGGGGCCACTCCAACCACTGAGATGAATGGAAATGGGTGCACTGTTTTTCCACATATCACAGAGGTGTCAAACATAGATTGCCAATAGGTCTGCAGTTTGGGACAGGTCCAGAATGTGTGTGAAGAACGTAGCTGGAGTTTGTTTACAATGATCACATGCAGGGTCCAGGTCAGTTTTGACTGTTGGAGTCAGCCTCCCCACCATCACAGACATCGTTAGGAGTCAAGGTTTCAAGGTTCTTCATTTGTCATACGCACCACATGTGGTACATGTGGTGGAACGAAACTGTGTACACAGGGTCCCAGTTACATCCAACTAAAGTATTAAAATGTAAAAGAAAAACAGTAATAAGATCCAAGATATGAAGTAAGAAAAACATCAACTGAAAATACACTAAGCACTAATAGCATAAAAAAAAAAAACGCCGAACAGCAGCACAAACACGAGTCTGTGTGAGCAGATGAGTACGAACAAACACAGCAACATGAAACAAACCAGCAACATGATGTGATATTTGAGAGATTCATGAGTCTAACAGCCTCAGGGTAGAAGCTGTTCCTCAGTCTAGAGGTTCTACACTTAATGCTCCTCAACCTCCTTCCTGAGGTGAGCGGGGCAAAAAGTGAGTGTGCTGGATGAGTGGGGTCCTTCATGATGCAGGTGGCCCTCTTCCTGCATCTGTTGGTGTAAGGTCTGTGATGGTGGGGAGACTGACTCCAACAGACTTCTGTGCAGCCTTCACCACTCTCTGCAGAGCTTTCCTGTCTAGACCTCCAGATGCAGGAAGAGGGCCACCTGCATCATGAAGAACCCCACTCATCCAGCACGCTCACTTTTTGCTCCGCTCCCCTCAGGCTGGAGGTTCAGGAGCATTAGGTGTAGAGCCACTAGACTGAGGAACAGCTTCTACCCTGAGGCTGTTAGACTCATGAATCCCTAATCAGCCATAGCCAAAGTGGTTCAAAACATCAAAGTTCATGCTCAAACTTCTTTCTTCTTCTTACGACTGCTCCCTGCGTTAGGGGTCACCACAGCGAACTAAGTCGCACTAAGACATGGCAGTTATTTTTATGCCGGATGCCCTTCCTGACGCAACCACAGAACACAGAGCTACCACAGCCTCTGTGTGGAGCAGAGAGCTGCATCTAGGACACCCGGAGGAGCAGATGGTGGGGGTTAAGGG